GTCTATAAATAACTCAAAAAAGTCAAAAATTAGTGAAAATTCATCTGTATATAGATATTACTAACATAAACATTTGATGAAAAATGCAAGTATTTATAGTGATTAGTTTTTGAATTATAACCATATAAAAAAATCGATTTTTTTTTAAATTGTTGGAAAATGTTTAGTTTTGACGTCTATAATACACCAAGGATACTTTTACATAGGAAACCACCCCCGAAGTTTGAAATTGAAGCATTATTTTGTCTAGTTATGCTGTACACAGACACACAAAAAAAAAACATACATCATCGTAAAATAATTACATTCATCACTTCGTTCAGAATCTAAAACAGAAAAATGTTTGTATCATATTAAATACACTATATTAGTATAATAGTTAAGATAATTGCCACATTTCCTCATGTGATTTAAATAAAGTTATTTTAATTAGGTGTGCGTTTAATAACTGTTAACACATAAACCATCACCTAAAGATTGTAACTAGAAACAAATTTTGAAAGAAAATAATAGGTAAATAAAACAAAACATTAATATTATAATAGAATATTATTATTTGTATATTATGAAATCCGTTATTTTAATAAAAATAAAATCGGTTAACAATTCTACATTAAATATTAATACCATAATTACACTGGTTTGTAGGTTAATACATAGTGCACTCTTTAAGTACTTAGTCTTTGTTCTATTTTTCGGAATAAAAGAATTGAAGTGGGGTCTTTGTTTTTCCATTTTTAAATATTTTAAACGAAAAATGAATTAAAAGTAGTGAAATTTCAAGCCTATTACGCATTGACACCACTGTTTCATAAGTTCTCGTGGCATAAAAATAATCCTACTTTCATTATTTGGTAGGCAACGTGAACCGCATTTCTTATACTATTTACGTACATTATCGATCGAGTGGTAAAATACATAAGTACACCAGCATAGGATAAAGTTTTCACTAGCGATGGAAGGATAACGAATTTGGAAGGCGTTCGCGTTCTAAGTTTTGTACATTTTATACGCGTTTTTGGAGTCGTGGTTAGATAATGATTATTCTTCTTAGTCATTTTATTCGTTTGCAAACCGTCAACAGTTTTATTTTTGGCAAAGTTTTTCAGCAATGTTTTTTGTTTTGTTAGGATTGTTTTTATAGTTACTACAAATCTCAGTCATATTTCGCGTATCTACCGTTTAAATTTGCCGTTTAAACAGTCATAATATATACCTACATTTTAATATCATGTTTTTATGGATATTTTTCTGCTATCAATCATTTAATAAATATTTCCGCTATACCAATAGTGACTACAATCTATCAAATCTAAGTCCTAAATACTAGTTTAAATACTTATAATATTTTAAAAATTCAAAAATCATTTTTTGTCATTTAAATATTGTACGATAACTACATAATTTTTTTTTATTATTATTTTAAGCTAATCAAGTATCATCGGCTACTCTCATCTACTGCAATTAGGTTAGATTAGGCATATATGTAAATTAATAAACTGATAATCTGCAGGGAATTATTATTTTTGATTAAACAATTTTAGGTTATGATTTAATAAATTATGTTTTTTTTAATAGAAATAAATGTATGCTTGAAATATTTATCAGGAACACAAAAATATATCTACATAATATAGAATAAGTTGGATATCTTAGGAAGAAAGTTAAGTCRGTGTAAAACATTAATTTATGTAAATAACTTTTATCAGTGGCGCATCTACGCGATGATGCTTTGGGGTTGGATCCTCTCCCCCCTCCCCAAAAAAAAAACAACAACTTTATATTAAATTATGCATTTTAATAGTACCTATTTCGTTTTGTCACTAAGATACGTATAATATCACAACTGTGAGATTTTTATTTAAATAATTTGTTAGTAACAGATTAATTATATAGTTATACCTATCTACAAAAATATTGTACCTACTCAAAGTACAAGGTTTGTAACCCATTTGTGGTTAGGTCGTCGACTTTGATCAATATCAACGATAAAAAAAAAAAACAAATTACTCTCGACTGACGATGTCATTAAAGTCGAACAAGTGAAAAGTGTATATTTGTATGAAACAGAAATTAGGATAMTTTTTAAGCCCTTTCCCCCCACGCTCGATTAAAAATCTATGGGTTCTGCTATTTCATTATTCGGAAATTGAAAATCATATAAACGTCAAAAGCAGATGTATATTTTCTATTGACTTATATTTTTGTTGTTGAAAAATAAATAAAACATCTGGAAGAAAATTTTGGGGAAAAATATTTTAATAGAAAAAGTCAAGAATCCCCACAATTCTCGAAAATTGTAAATAACTCTGAAGCTAATTTAAAATAATAAAATTAGTAACGTTTTGTTTAAAATAATGTWATAATAATAATAGTAGATTTTTTTTAATTATGCTAATTTTATAAAAATTAAAAACACCACTCATAATATTCTCAAAAAATGTATTTTCATAATTATAGTTTGTATTGTTAAAAAGTTTGTTGGTTAAAGGATTTTCTCAGTGCCTATAATATGAATGTACTTGGAGTGTACAGACCCTTAGGGGAGAACCTTCTCTCTTCGCCACCAAATACTATCCGTTACAATTTAATTAAATCTTGAATAAAATAGAATGTACAATGTACATACTATCTTTGAACTGAGCAATCAATGTTTTTATTAACAAAATAAAGTTAAAGATAAGTCAACAAATATCATCATTCATAACTATTAACTAACATATTATAAAAATAATATACTTTTAAGTATTAATGAACCATACATTATGACAATTGGTCTTTTGAATTTTTGCTTTAAAAAATTCMCCAAACCATTTTTTGTTTAATGTTTATAATGCGTATAATATAGCTATTATATGTAATAAAAAATATTCGTTACTTCATACGAGTTAGCCATTAAGATATATTATAGTATGTTAAAATAATTTTTTTTATAATATTCAATATTATAATTTCCAACAATAAATCATATGATAATATCAAAATTAAAAAGTTTTACTTTAAAGCATCCCTATTTATGTTTGAAAATAATTGTTGTAGCACATGACGTTCATAMATTTTATGGAACTTATAAATAGAATAAAAATTAGTATAGTTTTTATTTGTATATACAACCAGGAGGGATGATAAACACAGTTGTGGCAGCTGGTGTATAGTGGGTTGTGTATATAATTCTGTGGCTTGGTAGTTAATACAAGAAGCACCAATATCACTTTTTGATCAAATTTAAATTATTAAGCACCTTATTGTTATTCTTTTGATATTTTTTTGGAAAAAAAACCTTAGGTATCAGAACTAATTTGGCCAACTTAAGATAAGACATAAAACTGGCCGTTTTAAATAAATGGTAGTTGCATCAATTTAGTCGGTGTAGCAATAAAGTGTTCTTATATTAATTAAACGCAAATTGTAGAGAAGTCTGTGTTTCTTGAAACAAAAAAATGTCGTCTTTCTATATGAGTCGAGTTTTCTATGTTCAAGATAGAACATTGAACTATTTATTACATCCTGTTTCCAAAGGAAGAAGAAATGAGATGCGAGACGCGTGGACACGCACACTTTGAGAGTAATTAAAAAGGTTTTTTGGGGTTGGTGACAGATTAATTTGAACATTGGTGCATTGTAATCACCTATACGCTTATAYTTTTATAATTTAAATAAACTATAAAACAATTGCCTTATACAAATCAATATAAATTAAATCACACTTCACAGTAAATATCCTTACTGAAATTTTGTGTTAAAAATTGAACACATAATGAAATTGAAATGCTTGGTAATAGTAATAGCGGGAGCACGATTTAATGATAACAATAATTATTATAACTTATAAGTTTATAACTATAAACTATGGTTGTAGGTTATACGTTTTTATTACCTATATTTTTATTTAATAGGTAGAGTATTTGTGAGTATTAGTTAATACCCTTTATGAAATATTTATAATTTATTTTTATTTTTTTTATTTGCTTTTTGTTATAAAATAATTATAGCAAAATATTTATAATAAATAATGCATTTTAATTCCAATGGAAAAATAAACTATTCATACATTTCTATAATGTAGATACGTAATAAAAAWTTGAATAAATATAATTTTTAATTTTGTATGACTTTTAAACTATTATTATTTTATGCATGGGAAAAAATTGAATACTTGAAAATTATAACTTTTAACCAAATCAACATAATATTAAAAAATCTTAAAACTGTAATTATAATTTTCTACAGTTAATAGAGGGCAAATGTTTAAAATCCTATTACACATATGAAAATGTTGTGATTTGTGGACCAATTCTACGAAAACGAGTTCGATAGTCGCGTTGGGAAAACAAGCAAACGCGCAGCGTTCGTTCGGAGTTGAGTCAGTCGTAGTATACCCTATAACAAAGTTAGTCTTTTACGAAAGCGCTACTGAAAACTTTGCACATTGCACCTCGATCGCGTTTTTCTTTTCACCTTTCCACATCTTCGCTGAACGCCACAAGATATTATGCGAAAGCAACCACTACATTTTCCTTATATCTACATTATTATGATTTATTTGAAAGTACGGCGCATGACGTACTTCGTTTGCTTTCTTTTGTMAAAACGAGCTTTGCGTCCGTAAACTTAAAACGTACAAACTGACCTGGTATCGTGATTAGATATGATATTATTATTTATAAACGTATAAATATCGTCTGGAACGTCCTGGAAAACCTTTCGTCCGACGAGCGGCGCTACACGCGATGATCGAGACGACTCGCAACGGTAGTGATATTATTATTATTATTATTATTATTATTATTATTATGGTCACTATTATCGCGGTTCGGTCTTCTGGCGTGTGCTCGCGATGACGACGACGTTTGACTGTCGGTAGTCGGCTACGACGCAAACAACCGGTCCCTCGTTTGGCGGCGGGCTAGAGGCGGGCCATGTGTTTTGACGGAGCGCGGGGAGCAGATGTTTGGGCACGCGACCGCCGGTGACAGCTGCAAACCGAATTATTTTGTGCACATACATAGACTTGGCTGTGAGTGTACGCGCGCGTAAATGTACCTATACCTACATATGTATATTATGATATCGTGTAAAGAGGGTGTGTGTGTGTGTGTGTGTGCTTTGCTCTTAGCGTACTCGCATATCATACGAGTATTGTGTTCACGATTATATGCGGGCGTTGCCGTAGAGCTATAGAAAAGCGCGTAATGCGACGTATACAATATTATATTAATATAATACAATTGTATGTTGAAAAGGAATATTAAGGTTGCAAAAATCCTTTCGCAGCGATTGTTCAATTGGCGCGATAAAACGTGCGAGTTGTCTGTGAGTGGTGGAGGTGGCGTTGCGTTAAAAACGGTTTTTCTTCCGAACGTCTTGTACAGTTATGCATTTGTAGTAGGTACCTATATACAAAAGTAGCTCAAAACGCGTAAGTTGTTGCAATTCGGCAATTATTAAGACATAACCCCCCCACCAAAAAATAAATAAATAAAATAAAAATTCTTAATAGTTTTGACTTCCGTACGCCAGTTACGTAGGTAATAATAATACTTGCAAATTTCACAAACTGATCTGTATACTATATTGTGGTGGTATTCAACCGGTGGTTGCGTAAGCTTTAAAATTGGGTCGCGATAAATCTTATTTTTAAAATGGAAATTAAATGTAGAAAATTATAGAAGGTAAAAAAAAATAATAAAAAATAATATTTTGATCATAATGGACATCACTCATATCAAGTATAATTTTTCATATTACACTGTTATAATTCTATGTATAAGAATTTATGAATAAACTGTGTTATTTATAGAATTAATATACATTTTTATCGTTAGAGTTCTATTATACTATGGCAAATTTGAAAACGTCTAAAAGAAATAGACTTGAAACTGAAGATGATAACCGCCATTACTTATTAATTATTAGTTTATTACATATTATCATGTTTCGTCTTTTGTATAATATCATTATAATATACATGGCACTTACCTATTTATGAAATGTATTTTAATGATACGTGTTATATATGCATATGGTTCAGAAACTGTCGCGATTTAGGCAGAATTACCTACAGATACCTGCCATAAGATAATATTATATAATGTAGATAATTCAATGAATAAGAGTTTTATATAGCTGATTTATTATATTTAATTTATTTAAAAAAAAAACTGTTGAGATTCATTTTACAAATCGGGGTGTACTGATAAATATGTACCAGTGTATGCCCATGTGAATTCATTTAATTGTCGTACGGTTTTGGGTCTTATATARGTAATTTCTTAGTCTATATATTATATAGTATAATATATACTATAAGCACGTTGAAATGCCTTCACTCCCCCCACAAATTACAACTTCCAAACAGTTTTATTCTTAAATCAACGGTAAAATTGACATCTCTATCTTACGCCATACTATAATATCACGACTTCAAAACCTCTTTCCGGCTATACAGGTAATGTGCAATTTAAGTATATAACATAACATTACATATTTCGATTTGGTGTTAGTGGTGGCAGAGCGGTGGTACTGGTGCATTCTCATCCCCGMKCCTTCCGACCGTTAGACTCGTGTCGCGCGCGAGTATATAAAACCGTTCCCTCCACCATCCGATCGACTGGCTGGTACAACGGCAAAAAGCAATCGGCCAACGGGCAACACACACGTAACGTCKTTACAAAATACATGCACATCGGCAGCAGCTGCCGCTCTCCTTTTGTTACGCTCCGGCGACCCCCGACCGGGGTCTATAGCGCCGGCGGAGAGGGATGGTGTTTAGAGGGGTAATGAGTGTCGGAAGGAAACGCTATCGTCGATGCATGTGCGTAGGGGAGACCTATAAATATATATATATRTRTATWTTKTRYWCT